CTGCTGCTGCTGCTGCTGCTGCTGCTGCTGCTGCTGCTGCTGCTGCTGCTGCTGCTGCTGCCGCTGGTGGTGGTGGTGGTGGTGCTGCGGGAAGGCGGGTAAGGGGGGAGGGAGGGGAATGCGGGTTGGGGTTTAGGGTTTAGGGTTTAGGGTTTAGGGTTTAGGGTTTAGGGTTTACCTGGATGATTTCCTTGTAAATGGCAACGATGAGGGACAAGACCAGCAGCATGCAGTAGGCGTGGCCAGCAGCAAGAACAATAAAGAAAAGAGCCACTAAAATGAGAGTCCAAATGCAGCGAACTTTGAAAGTTGCGAAGCGCTTGTCCCAGCTTTCTGCTGCTGCTGCTGCTGCTGCTGCTGCTGCTGCTGCTGCTGCGCCGTCCTGCAGCGCGGGCGCCGCGGACCCCGCAGCAGCAGCAGCGCCGCCCGGCTCGCCGCGCCCCCGCGACGGCCCCGAGCTGCTGCTGCTGCTCCCCAGCAGCAGCGACTGCTGCTGCTGCTGCGACGAGCTGCTGCTGCTGCTGCTGCCGCTCCCGCTGCTCCCAGAGGCCCCACGCGCCCGCCGAGGGGGGCCCGACCTCGCGGCCCTGTGGTGCTGCTGCTGCTGCTGCTGCTGCTGCGCTGCTGCTGCTGCTGCTGGAGGCGGCACTGAGTACGACGCGTAACGCGCCCGCGGCCGCTGCACTGCAACCGTTTCCCCAAAGACAAACGAGCTGCTGCTGCTGCTGCTGCTGCTGCTGCTGCTGCTCCTGCTGCTGTCAGGCTCGTCGGAGTCCCCTATGGCCTCAGTCCCATCATCCCAGCCACTTGCTGCTGCCTCCGAGGAGGCGGGGAGAGCGCCGTCGGAGTCGGAAGTCGCCATGATTTGCTGCTGCTGCTGCTGCTGCTGCTGATGCTGCTGCAGCTGCTGCTGCTCTCGTTGCTGCTGCTGCTGCCGGCAGTCACACTGCTGCTGGGGTTGCTGCTGCTGCGCTCTTGGACTCAAGCTCCGCGGCAGCAGCCAATTCTCCTGCTGCAGCGAAGCTCTCTCTGCGGGATTGGCCCGCGAGTGCTCGAAGAGCAGCAGCCCCCCTGCTGCTGCTGCTGCTGCTGCTGCTGCTGCCAATACAGCAGCCACACGAGATACGCGCTGAAATTGTTCTTCACGCAAGCTGACTCTGTGTTTATTCCTTTTGTCGTCGCTGCTGCTGCTGCTGCTGCTGTTGCCGTTGCTGCAGCAGCAGCAGCAGCAACAGCAGCAGCAGCAAGACCACACACACCGCCGACGCAGCGGCGGTGACCCACAGGGCAGCAGCGGAGAGGTTTGAGGGAAGGTTTATATTTGTTAACGCAAGTTACATGCAGCAGCAAGTTCAAATGTTTCCAAGGAGCAGCAGCAGCAGCTGCTGCTTCTGCTGCAGCTGCTGCCACAGCAGGAGCAGCAGCAGCAGCAGCCAAGCCCTCGTGGGGGTCTGCCGCTTCTGTGAGGCCGCCTGCTGCTCTCTTCTGTTATATTTTAGAATACAAGTTAAAAACAAAAGCAATTCTACACCGCTGCTGCTGCTTTCCGGTGTGCGGGCGCATCGTGTCTTCTGCTGCTGCTGCTGCTGCTGCTGTGCTGCTGCTGTTGCTGCTCTACCAGCACCAGCAGCAACAGCAGCAGCAGCAACGCCAATAAAAACTAATCTAAGAAGCTCTACACCCCTCAGCTCCTCAGCAGATAGCTCTGAAGCTCCTTATCAAGGCTTGCAGACGCCAACCGCTAAACCCTAAACCCTAAACCCTAAACCCTAAACTCCAAATCGTAAAGCAAACAACTTCGTTGGTTTAGGGCCTATTACTTCGCCTCTTTCCCTGGGAACCCGCAAGTATAGTTACGTAGTAGTGGCTGTGTTTCGCGAAACCCTAAACCCTAAACCCTAGCTAGGGTTTACATCCAAGGGTTTGGTCACGGAGTGTGATGTTCGCAGCTCCAGCTGACAGGCCTTACTTCGATAAGCCAACGGCCTAGAACTTAGGGTTTAGGGTTTAGGGTTTAGGGTTTGGGTGCCCAAGGCTGCAGCGGAGAGAACTTGCAGTGTCAGTCCAGCAGCAGCTGCTGCTACCCACTGTCAGCAGCAGCAGCAGCAGCTGCTGCTGCCCACTGTCAGCAGCAGCAGCATTTGCTGCTGCCCACTGTCAGCAGCAGCAGCAGCATTTGCTGCTGCCCACTGTCAGCAGCAGCAGCTGCTGCTGTTACCCACTGTTAGCAGCAGCAGCTGCTGCTGCTACCCACTGATAGCAGCAGCTAAAAGCAGCTAGCAGCAGCTAGCAGCAACTCGCAGCAGCTAGCAGCAGCAGCTAGCGGCAGCAGCTAGCAGCAACTCGTAGCAGCTAGCAGCAGCAGCTAGCAGGAGCAGCTAGCAGCAACTCGTAGCAGCTAGCAGCAGCAGCTAGCAGCAGCAGCTTGCAGCAGCAGCTAGCAGCAGCAGCTAGCAGCAGCAGCTGGCAGCAAGCAAGGGCTGCAGCAAAAGGCAGCACT